TGTATATATATATATGTATATATATATATATGTTTGTGTGTGTCGCGTACTCAAATCAGTTAATTGGATATCTGTTTGTCAGTTGTAAGACCATCAAATTATAAACACTTGAGGGATGGTCGGGGCTCGTATCAAAGCCTCCGATCATTAATTTTTATATATATAATATAATCTACATAAAATATCTTTTTTATATATAAAAACCAATAGGGCAATTTTTAAAACTAATATATGCTTTAGAATTTAGAATGATATCATGTTGGAAGATTTGCATGGACCAGATATCTCTTAAAAATACAACAAATCATAACATATCCTCCAAGAAATTTACTCTAAAAGCTTTGTCTCATTCTCATGCACACTACTCAATCAATTATTGTAAATTCTTCTGTATGGAATTCCTGGAATTTAATTTGTACCATTTCACTAATTCTCATGCAGGCTAGCTGCATTCAATAAATCTACAATTTTAATGTCAAATATTTTGAACCAGCCCTCAATCCAACTCTATTTAATGAAGCCGCAGGCTACTCTCCTTCGATCATAAGAAAAAACTAATCCCCATTGTTGAGAGCTTTGTAAGAGCTAGCATTAATGGAAAATTTCATTAGTTTATTCTCTGTCATGGCGGTGGGAATGCTTCTTAGCTCCCTTGTTACAGGTCTGAATTGCTCTGGTTTCTAATATATTCTCTTAAAACTACACGAAAATCAAACAAAAACACTCTCATAAATCTCACCAAACTTCTAATCCACAAATGAACTGATTTTACATACTCCATCAGGCGTGAGATCCATCGGCGTCTGCTACGGCGACAACGGCAACAATCTCCCTCCCCCAGCTGAAGTCATAAATCTCTACAAATCCAACAACATCAGAGGCATCCGTCTGTACAGCCCCAACCAGGACGCCCTCAAAGCCCTCAAAAACTCCACATTCCCGTCATCCTCGGCGTCCCCAATTCCGCCATCTCTTCTCTCGCTTCCGATCCCTCCGCCGCCACCTCGTGGGTCCAAAACAATGTCCAACCCTTCGCATCCGACGTCATTTTCCGCTACATTGCGGTGGGCAACCAACTTAACTCCGACTCTGACGCGCAAAACATCCTCCCCGCAATGCAGAACGTATATATATATATTTTAAAAGATTTGCGTATGCAAGTGGATGGAGCATAAATATTGATACAAATGGAACAAGGATGAACTAAGTCTAAGGACGATATATTATAATAAAAATAAATTATTTTTGGAAATAAATAGATAGGCTAAAATTAGAAATTGCAGAAGAGCATCTTGACTCTATTTTTTTCTTCATCAACCTAGTCATTGGCTCAGTTTCATCTCATGTACTAAGTAGAGCCTGTTCTACTGTTAGTCGCCCTAGTCACCGACGATATGGACCATTGCATATTGATCACTAGAAGAGGCTGATAAAATTTATTTAGATATTTAAATATTAATTAAATTTTTGGATGATCAATTCTTTTAGCTCAAATCTTTTTTGTATGTTACACAGGCCAAACAGATCGTCTGCTCCCTCCATTGCAGAGCTACATCAACGAACTGATCGCTGCGTAGTAGGTCTGAGCATTCCCGGCTGGTTGTTGCAAGTTAAAAATCTTAAATTAAAAGTGTATTTTGACTCTAACCGTTAAAAGTGTCAATTAAACAATGGTTTTCATCATGGATGAGGAGTTTGAGCAGCTCTAAGAAAGGCACTTAGCCTCTCAAACCCGACTTCCACCAACAATAGTGGTAGGTGCTAGAGAGGAAGATGGTGAGAGTTTATAGCCTTGGAGTGAAGGGCATAACTTTCAAGGCCGAGCTCTCTCGTGGCCCCATTCATAGGTCCCCAAGCTCCTCGCAGCCAAACTAGGAGATTCTTGTCAGACATGTAGCTGCAATGGGTTAAGATATCCACCAGTTACACGAGCAGATGTTGGAAGGCCAACATAGAGTCAAGAACTTTATAGCACTCATGACAGATACATAAGTAGATAGTCCGGGCAAGCAGCCGATAACATCCGTGCAAAAGGAGGAGGAGGATGGAGATAATTAGTTATTTTATGTTTTTTTTTTTTATTTGTAAGATTATTTTGAACATTTGTTTTGGAATTTTTTGAATTAACTTTACTATTTTTATTTGAAACGATTTGTGATAGTATTTTCACTTTATTAATAATATTATTTAGAGATTTGATATGTGATATGGATATGCTTAATGTGATATATAATTTGAAATGTGTTTTTAGTTCAGTTTGTGGAAATATAAATAGCATTCTAATATAGTTTAGAGATTTGTTACAGCTTTTCGTCGGATTTGCGTCCGTTTTCAAAAGCAAAATCCGACGCTACATCGACAATTAGATTTTTGTGCTCTACGATATTTTTCGACACAAAGTAGATGGTAATTCGATACTAATATTCATTGTCTGATATTTTCAAGCACAAATTTCGACGCACATTTCATATAAACAAATTTGACACAATGACGACACAAAAACCAACGTTAATTATTTGTGTCGAAATTGTTCAAACTAAATTGGACGGAAATAACATTACTGACCCCCAAATTAACATCGAAAAATATCATACCTAAACTAGACGTAAATCTGACGATAACCCATAAATATCGTCAGATTGGCAACTGAATTATGTCGATATATCGGACACAAACATGCTTAATTCCTGTAGTGTTTTATAAAGATAGCCCTGCTCTTTTACCAGCTAATGATGTGCTTTGAATTCTTTTAAATTATCTTTAATGAAAAAAATCATGGTTGAAAGGCCTGTTCCTCAATCGATTTAGGTATGTCCGTTAAGGCATAACTTTAGATTAATCCTTGTGTTGTTGGTCGACCCACTTCATTTCTTAATTAAATTCTCT